TTTGTAAATGGCGTGAGGTAGGGGGCAACATTGCTTTTTTAGGTTGTCGATATGAAGTTGGTTCAGTTCCATTGTTTAAGAGACTATTCCTCTTCCACTGAATGGGCCTGGTACCAATGTCAAAAGTCAATTAGTGATAAATCAATTTATTTCTTGACTCTCAATCTATTCCACAGATCAATAGGTTTGCCCTTATGCCAATACCACATAGCTTTGATTACCATGGCTTTGTACCAAGTTTTAAAATCAAGAGTGAGTCCTCCAAGTTAATTCTTCTTTTCAAGATTGTTTTGGCTATTTGGAATCCTTTGCATTTCCATATACATTTTGGGATCAACTTGTCAATTTCTACAAAAAAGGCCATTTGGTTGAATCTATAGATTAATCTGGGGAACACTGCCATCTTAGCAATATTAAGTCTTCCAATCCATGAACATGGATGTCTTTCTATTTATGTAAGTCTTCCATAATTTATTCCAACAACATTCTATAGTTTCCAGTGTATGTGTTTTACACCTCTTTTGCTAAAGTTATTCCAAGGTATTTTATTCTTTTTGAGGCTATTTAAAATGGAATTTACATTTCATTCTTCGTTTCATTTTCGTCTTGTTCATTGCTAGTGTATAGAAATAAAATAAATTTCTGTATATCGATCTTATATCCTTGCCCAAACTGTGTACTAGCTCCAATAGCTTTTCTCATGGATTCCTTACAAGATCACATTCTCTGCAAATAGAGATAGTTTTACTTCTTTCTGTTTATTCTGGGTCCTTTTTCCTTTTTTTCTTTGTTTGCCAAATAGCCCTCACTCAAACGAGTACTGTAGTCTTGAACAAATCCGGTGAGAGTGGATATCCCCATCTTCTTCCCGATCTTAGAGAAAGACTTCCATTATCTTACCATTAAATGTGATGTCAGCTGTGGGTTTTTGTGGATGCCTTTTTTCATGTGAGGAAGCTTCCTTCTATTCCTAGTTTGTTCAGTGCTTTTTATTATGAAAGCAGGGTGGAATTTTCCTTTTATTCCAAATGCTTTTTCTGGGTCTCTTGAGGTAACCATGTGGTTACTGTCCTTTATTCTATTGATTTGGCATATTACATTGATTGATTTTTATCTGTGGAACCAACCTTAAATTCCTAGAATAAATCTTACTTGGTGTATACATAGTGTATAGTATTATAGTACTTATATTATCATAGTGAGTATTATAGTATTATAATACTTACATAGTGTATAGCACTTTTTTATGTTACTGAATTAGATTTGCTAATATTTTCTTGAGGATCTTTGCACTTGTATTCATATTCCTGAAATTTTATAAATGTTTGTGTCTTTCTTTCTAAATGAGGTAAATTCTTTGGCAGAGCATAGAGAGCATATGTCACATAAGTCACATAATACCTAAACTATGGTCTGCCATGAAGATATCAGTAGGGAATTGCCACAGATTATTTATTACTCAATTCTCATATATGGAGCTCCATTTCAATACATAATCCTTCATTGTATTCCCTATCCCCACACAGGAAATTGACCCATTAAGGTTTATCGGCATGACTATATGGAATTACATTCCACCTATTGTATTCCTTCTCAGGAGGACGAAAGTTATTTTATAGTAACTGGGGAAATGTAACCTGATTGGTCATCATGAAGAAGACCACTGAAGAATGGGAAGAACAAGGACACCCTGTTGATTGAGAAGGTGATCCGGAACCATTCTGTCCAAAGCACATTAGAGTAAATAATAACAATGATAACTTAGATTTGTTATGAACACTATTCTATTGTTTATATTCCCTATTGTAACGCAAGTGCTTTGAAGGCGTATGTCTGTATGTTTCCTTGCTAGGCATCCAGAATGTCCTGTGAAGGACAAATGCACATCGGGGACCACCCAAGTTTTTTTACTGAATGGATAAGTCATTGAGTCAAAACACCTAACAAAAAATAGGTACTGAATAGCTTGCCATAGGTTGGGACAACTTTCTCTGGATAATTAATGGCTCTTTATTAACCAATCCGTTGGTCTATTTCACTGTAAGTTTATGAAAGGAAGCTCAGCTTATATTCTCCAGATCTGAACACAAAACAGTAGTCTTCTTATAAGTACTAACTGTTCTGAAAGTGGCAGCAGAATCAGGGCAGAAGCCTTCCTGAAAGTTGTCTGGAACATGAAAAGTTTTATTCAGCTTTGATCAAGATGCATAGCTCTAGGTAGAGATGAAATGAATATTTATAATTTTATTAGACTCAATTGCTCCGGGCAATAAACTTCATTGCTGAGTTTCCAGTTTAATTTTTATAGCCTGAGAGAGATGCTCCTGACTATACCATTCTTGAATAAAATCATGAACATCTTCGATTCTGCACTATTGCCCTCTGTAAATTACCTTGTGAGAAAATAAAAATTTATATAATAAAACTCATTATTCTCCTTTTTTGTTAAAACGATTGCTTTTGTAAAATGCAGTTTAGTTATTAAATCAATTTCCATCATCGATCGAAAGCCAAGTTGTCTTTAAAAATATCCCTTTGTCGACTTGGCGCTTGGTGACAGTGACTTTCTACCTTGTGCCGCAGACATTTCTGAACACGCCTCATCTCTCCTCTCAGAGGCTCGAGTCATTGAGGGCAGGAAGTTGCATGCGGTGTGTTCGTTTTGCTCATTGACCCTATCTGTCCTGGTGGCTGGGAAAAGAGTCCACGGACACCTGTCTGTGGCAAGGAGGGAGGGATCAGACGGCTGGGGGCAGGCAAAGCCATCACTCCACTGGCAGACTGCACCACGGTATGAAATCTAACCCTGAGGCTTGCCTGTCCCTTAAGACAATCAATTACTCACTCTGTTCAAACCAAAGATAGTAACTATCCATTGGTCCAGAGAGTAGCGCTCAGTATCAGATAAAAAAGGAGCAAATTCTTTTCCACTTGGACATTAAAAACAATTACAATATTATTCAGCTGACAGCCAAGGAAGGCGTTCCATCCTACTGTTCTCTGAAACTCAATGTGGGCTTTGCATTTGCAGGAATCTCATAACCTCCTCTATCTAAATGTATACTGCGAATCTCACGCAGGAAGGCCAGGGGAGGAGCTAATTTCTTTCGATTGTTTTTCCAGTTCCAGTGGTTTTCTAGACTATGCCACTGTTTTAAATAGAACAAAAAAACTACTGGCTGTTGTATGTAAGCGATGAGTCACAAAATTCTACGCCCAAAACTAATAGTACACTCTATGATGACCAACTTGCATCTAAATAGAAACTTGAGGGGCATCTGGGTGGCTCATCCGGTTGTGTCCGACTTCAACTAGGGTCATGATCTCACGGTTCGTGGGTTCAAGCCCCACGTCGGGCTCCGGGCTGACAGGTCAGAGCCCAGACCCTGCTTCAGATTCAGTGTCTCCCTCTCTCTCCGCCGACCCCCACTCGTGCTCTTTCCCTCTCTCTAAGTAAAACATTAAAAAATTGTAAACAAAAACTTGAAAAAAATAGAATAAAAAAATCTACTATCACAAAAACGTGGGTGTCCAGAAATGCCTAGAAAACGCATCCAAAGTCACACATTAGAGACTGAGATGGTCCTGTCCACAGTGGGCTGCAATAGCCATAAACATCACCCAGTGCTCAAGGGGAAACAACTGTTCTCATTTTTATTTCTGCCTTAAGGCCTCGATGATATTCTGCATGTGCGGTGGGGACTGGAGCAGTGAGCCACGTGAAATCACCTGCAGCGCCAGCTGCCTTTCTGCCGACACACTGGGGAGGCCTGTTCTGTATCCACCTCAAAGGCACGATCATGAAGCGGGACCACTTCGGCCTGAGGTTGCTATTCTGTATAGGACGCTCACAGCACAGACCTTGGGTACCCTCCTTCGCTGGCATAATTGGCACCATTGTTAACTGCACATGACCGACCTGGAGCTTCTGGTGACACTGACTATCTAAACGTTACACGTTTGTTTTCACCATTTTCAAGAGCACTTTGGGATTCCTCACCTCTCCTCTGGAAAATATGAACTCATAATTCTACTACTCATCACCTGTTTGGAAAAAGTTTCATAGTTACTGTGCTGAGTTCTCAATGTAACTTGAACGTCCATCCACATGCCTCCTCTGAATCTCCAGTCTGTGATGCTATATAGGCCTACAGAGGAAGAAACGATGGAGGCATCTGCGAAGAAGTGGCTGGAAAGCTAGCAACCATCCCACTGATCATTTAGGACTAAACGGGGCCAGGTGGGTGTCCCGGACCGGAACAGGAATAATAAATATTCCATAAGACGATTTCTCCTAAATCACTTTAACTATCAATAACATGTACAGTTTGTATACAAATGATCAAAAAGAAAAGATATAACTTACAAGATTTATTTTTATTTTGACTTACTTCTTGGTGACACAGGGAAAAATAAAGGCATAACTACTTTGATGCCTAAATAGTATAGTATGCTTTTACTGTGGCACTTCTGTGAACTCACAGCCGTAAAGAGTGTGTGGGATCTTTACGCCGTGACTTTCCAAGAAGTAGGTGGGGAATTAAATGCATTTCAAAGCTGGGCCCCGGACACAGCCCAACAGGTACGCACTTGCTAAAAGAAAATCAAACCTTTTCTCTTCTTCTAAATGTAAAACTATACTTGTCATTAAATGATTTCTGCATTTGACTCCTGATTAATACAGAATTTGTGAACTTGATATCTGCTTTGATTGTGTCTTCCCTCAATTGTCAGAAAAGTGCCAAGTTTCGTTCTGCCTGATTGCCAAGGGAGAGGGTGAGTGTGAAGGCACTTCTCAGGGGCCACCCTTGCTTGTCCGGGGGACAGCCTCATGATGACAGGCGCTCTCAGATACGAGAACAGCTTCTGCCTTGATTATCGCTCCCTGGGAAGCCGTGACTGTGACAGGGCGCCTCACTCAGCACGGAGAACCTTTCTGTGTTTGCTACCTAACACTTCTGATCCACGGGCTGTGGGGGGACGCATTGTCTGCCACTTACCTAAAATTGTCCCCAACGTAAGAGATTTGATAGCGTTGAACTCTGTCCCCGACGACAGGAGGACGTGCCTCCTTGCATTCCGGTTAACCTATTAAACGTCCCACGAGAAGCAGACATCAAAATGGCGAGCAGTTGGGATGATAAGGGGAGAGGGAATCACAGGAACACCAAGAAAAACGGTAAAAATGAGCCACGCGTGTGAACTATCCCAAAGACTAAAGGAGAAAGCTGTTTCATAGCAATTTTTATAATAACTCAGATTTCACACCACCCCATTCCTTATTCGTCTCCCTCTGTTTCTCTTCATGGCTTAAAGATCTATAATTGGTGTAATCCACAAAGAGATGCAGAAAGCTATTTCAAACCTTAAAGCTTTTACTTATTTCGAATAGAAATTAGTAAAGAGCCAGAACAGGTATTATGTCTACAGATTCAATACATAAAGGTTATTCTTCAAAACCCAGTGACAATGAATCATTTAAACACGGATGTTTTTAAAAATGTATTCCCGCTTTAAGCAAAACCTCGCTTTTTCCCTTGTGTTTACATTTCTACAGCACTTGCTCTTTTGTAGTCAGATGGGAACAGGCTCCCGTCGGAATTTCTCCAGCAGTCGCTGTGATAAACTAGACAGCATTCCCCTAACACCGAGGACAGCCCGGCATTCTAAATGGTCCAATGTTAACAGTAACTCCGTCAGTCTCTTGCTGAACAAACACACAGAAGTTGCTAAGCCAAAACACTCTGGCTACATTTCCTGTCCCCAAGACTTATGGAGAGACTGTGTTGAATGTGTATCTCTTTTGTTGGATTGATTAGCAGAGGTTTGCTTCATGTCACACATTCTGAGTGTCCCAAGTTTGGTCACTGTCGTCTTGTTGAATCCCCCTACCCCTTACCTCTACAGAGACCGCCGCTGCCTCCCTGTGGATCTCCACCTGGTGAAACTGTCCATCGGCAAGGTTTTTAAAACCAAAGTTAAAAACATCAGGTTCTTGGTGCCTGTCCAGCTTATAGCTGATCTGCAAACTTCCTAAAGAAGAGAAAAATGACATTTTTAACTAAAGTGGAACCTTATAAAACCTATTGATGCAGGTTCTAAAGCATATTTTATTTTATTTATTTAATACAATTTGAATCCAGTGAGCATTCACTTAGGACACCAATAGTCCATTTTCCTGAAAGCGTGATCATTCGTGTGCTGTTTGGGGGCCGAATTCAGAATCTAATTACACTAGTTTATTTAAAATTTTTTTTTCATATTTATTTATTTTTGAGAGACAGAGAGAGACAGAGTACAGGCTGGAGAGAGGCAGAGAGAGAGGGAGACACAGAATCTGAAGCAGGCTCCAGGCTCCGAGCTGTCAGCACAGAGCCAGATGTGGGGCCTGAACTCACAGACTGAGATATGACCTGAGCTGACTGAGCCACACAGGCGTCCTGAGAATCCAATTAAAGGCTATTTTATTTTATTTATTTTAAGTTTTTATTTAAATTCTAGTTAGTTAACACACAGTGTAACATTAGTAAACGCTATTTTAAAAGTCAAGACCAAACGGTCTTTCCATTTTCCATTTTCCTTAACGAAAGGAGTAAGTCTTGGAAACGGTCTTTCCAAGTTCTTCCATTTTCCTTAACGAAAGCAGTAAGTCTAAGGTAAGCATATGAAAACTCCAAGCTAGGCTCTAAGTTAATTATTCATGTGGTATTCACATTATTAAGTGGTAAAACCTCAAGCAATATTGCATTAACATTCAGTTTCTATAAGCATAACTTCTTTTAAGGTGACTTATTTTAATGCATTTTAATGTATTGCTGACATTTGCATAATGAATTTTTTTTTTTTTGCAGAACCAGAATTTTCTCCCAAATATTTCTGCTGTAATCAAGAAACAGAGGAAAGAGAAATGATTTGTTACAATATCTAAAATCTCCTGAAGTTCTCCACAAATGCACCTTCTACCCCATGACTCCCGCACTGTCTGTAATAGAGGCTCCAGAAGATAAGTTTCTGTTCTTCCTCTCTGTGAAGCAAGGTTACAACTTGGTTATCCTCTCCAACTGGAAAAGTCTGGGAAAGCCCTGGCGGCTACGGGTGGGCTAGCTCTCCTTCCACTTTTGTTTGAATGTAGAGATGACGTGAATGGCTTCTCGACCACTATGAGTAAAGAACAATCATATTCATCCGATGCTTATGAATATTGTCTTTTTTATGGTTTAATATACTTCACTTAGGAGGAGGAGGAAGTATTTTCCATGTACAGAATGAGATACCTTGTTTCAAAGTGAATTGCAAAACTAATTTAGATTATTCATGTCCAGTAGGAAAGGCCTCTGAGAATAACAAGACGCACATCTGCACATCGAATACATCAAATGACCAAACTGTCATGGGAGACTGCCATCTTGAATGGCACCTTAAATGGAACCATTGAAATGTTAACTCTAGCGATAAACATCAAGGTTATCATGAAAAATAAACTACTTCTAAGAGAATGAGAATCTATAAGCCATGCAATTGTGTTTCCTTTTTACGATTAACACTGAAAGAGCCCCCTCATGTGGTCCTAATATTCTAAGTCAGTCTTCTTGTTCATAGAGTCCGACACTCACCATTGGGGGCAAGGATAACGGACAGGTACTCTTCATAGAAGGAGCTGACGTAGAGAAGTAGGCTGGGCGTCCCTGTGGTCCGGAAGCTCAGTGTGGCCATTTCCCCAGTCAGCGTCAGATCCTCATGAAATAAAGCTGCCAAGGAGCTGGAGTTCTTACCGAAGGTATGATTATGATGTTCTTGAAAGTTGTAGATAACTGACGAGCCACTTCCAAAATACGCAGAAATCTCTGGAATGACACTCATTTTGGTTATGTTAGTAACAACAGAAGAAGAACAAGGCTTTTCTTTATGGATAGTTGCACAATATCTCTAACCCTTAAGCATCTCAAGAGAGAAAATAATAACAGCATGCTTTGCTGTTTTTTTTTTTAATTTAAGCATATTTAAGATTAAAGAAAATAATCAAGTATGGATAAAAAGATAACTTATCCCCACTCACATTCCCATAACTTAGAACTGAGTAACAATATTTTCTTATTGCCCGCAAAATGCTTCACCTCAAGATTCACATACCTTTGCTTACTGTTCTCAGTGTGGATGAGTCCGGGTCTAACAGAAGTAGTCATGAGCTTCTCAAGAATGGAATCGTACTTCTTTCCAAGTTAAACACAGAAATTCAGGACCAAAACAAGTCTATTTAAGCTAATCACACGGAGTTGCCTTATCCTTTCTTTACAGGGTCAGATGGCAAAAACACAAAGCAAACAGGAAAACATTTGGCGTCCTCTCTGGTCCCGGTCCCGCACGTGGGTCGTACTCACCATTTTCGCAGAATGGCCCGTCATATGCAGAGAAGGCACAGTCGCAAGTGATTCCCCTGTGTCTCTCTCTACATCTCCCTCCGTTGCGACACAGGTGTCCGTAGCTGCTGCAGTGTCCTGGGCACCCTGGCTCCACGCCTGGAGTCATTGTTGCTCTTTCTTCCAGGTCCAGCGCCAGCCCATTCAGCCGCAGCGAGCGAATGCACCCCAGGAAGCCTCTCTGTCTGGTGGCCGTCCCGCCTGCAAGGGAGACACTGCAAATGCAAACGTGTTCTTGCGTGTCTTTGCGAGATCTCTTCTCTACGTCCAACGGAGGCCACATCGATAACGTCAAAAAAGGGACCCGTCAAAAGTTTTATGAACAAATACAATTTTGAAAACAGGATGTGATCAACTAGTCAGAATCATCAAATGACACTGATTAAAACCATTAACAAAAATATTTTTGAAGTCCACCTTGGTAAATATTTATTCTAAAAATACTTCTTTGGGTTCCTGACTGGCTCAGTCTGTTGTGTGTTAAACTTTGGCTCAGGTCATTATCTCTCAGTTTATGGGTTCAAGCCCTATGTCGGGCTCTGTGCAGACAGTTCAGAGCCTGGAGCTGCTTTGGATTCTGTGCCTCCCTCTCTCTTTGCTCCTTTGTTGCTCATGCTCTGACTCTCTCTCAAAAATAAATAAACATTAAAAAAATTTAAAAATACTTCTTTAAGTTTTATTTAGAAAGATTTGTACATTTTTACGTTGGTTCCTTCATAAAAAACAGAAGACCACTTATTCTTTTTAATGTTTAAGTATATCAACTATGAGGAGCACAATAAAGTTACATAGTTAAAAATTTTTGCAATATGATATATATATTACAAATGTGTATATTAAAATATACAATTACGTATGTATATATGTATATATAAAATGTACAACACAAATTATGTTGTATATATTTATCATGTAATATACATTAAAATTTGTATATGCATTTGTTACATATGTATTTTTGTTATATATTTGTTATATATATGTATATAACAAGTTATATATGTAATAATAATAACCCTTCTTAGAAGTGCTGTCCATAACAAATCCGTGAAAAGGAACTGATGAGTGGGCAAAGACAGAGAAGGTGTAGGGGTGAAGTCAAAACCCGGGCCCCCAACCCTGCCTCGATCTAGCCTATAGGCTCTCAGGTCGTGGTGTGGGGGGGATAGGGGGGTTGGGAGGGTGGGGTAACATTAACTGAACACTGTAACTCTCTGTAGTTCTATCATGTCTCGTGCGAGCCTAACCTCACATCTGGGAGCCTAGGGCCCACCTGGAATGCATGCTGAAAACAGAGCTGGGTTCATTCCCAGGGATTCTGATTCAGTGGGTCTGGGGTACATATGCCAGATCAGAATGTTCCCCTAGCATCAAGCTCTAGAAACATCTCCGTGGAGATGTTAATTCTAGGTAGATGTTCATGCAAACTCTGTTCCTAAGAATTCCATTAATGGATCTTCAGCATCACAAATCAGAAAATAAAATTATTTAATTTGATTCAGTTTCATGACTTGATGCGAAGCCTACTTAGTAAGAGCTGTGCTTGAAGCAGACGTGTTTGGGGCCATGGGTTGTACACACACACATGCACACACACAAACCCCCTACATAGCACCAGCCTGCAGATGCCGTAAGTATCTCCTGGCCAAGCAGACTGAGTGCCAATTTGTGATTATATCAGTGTTCAATTAGACTGCATCATTATTTACTTTAGAATACACGAAAAATGATCAAGTGAGAGCTACTTTGTTAATCTGCTCGGTTTCCAAATTAGAATAGAGTTGTCTGAAAAATAACGTAGCAAAACTTATCTTTCCCTATGGGCAAAAGAAAACATTATAAAAAATAAGCAAGCCAAGGAAAGGGAAGATTTCCATAACCCAGAGTTTTAATCTTTAAAGCATGGGCACCGAGAATAAAGAGGCAGCCCGGTTTTGGACCCGCATCTCCAAGGACTGAACAGCAGGGGAGGGGGGTGCTGAGGAGCGGCGGCTGGGGGGTCTTGGGGGCGCAGCCACACGAGTCTCCGCCGGTCACTTGGAGGTTCTGCCCCAATCGCAAGGCGGGCTCTCCAACTTCCCTGAGAAGTGGAGCGGGAGAGTTGGACGAAAATTGCTAATGGATTTGTAAACGGTATTGATAAGCAAGTCATCTATGCCATTGAGTGCAAGCTGGGGAGTCCACCACGGATTGGGTGCGTTGAGTGTCTCTGCTCTCAGAGTTTCGAGACTGGGAAGGCTATGGAAACTGCGATCAGTAAGAACATTCTATGGGAACAATATTAAGGATCTGGGGAAAGAGATGCTCTCACCAGGGCGATCGGCCCAAGGCGCGGACCGAAGTCTGCCCTTGCCGCGGTCACCTGTCCCGTTCGGCATTTCTCTGGGTCTGCACCACTCGCACTCACCCACGAAGAGCTGGCTGTTGAGCTGTAAACGTGCATGCCCGTCAGCAGGTGCAGCTTGGGTCTCGCTGGGGAGCTGGTCCACCTGAAGTGACGCTTCCTTCACATTCCTCTCCGCCCTCACGTAGTGCCACTGGTTGTCATTAAAGGGAGCGGGCGACCGCACTGTGACCTCGCAACGTCCGTTCCCCACATCAAAGGAAAAGGTCACTTCGGAGGGAGCTGCAAAGACAGATAGGGAGAGTCACTCACTCATTCACGGGGAGGAAGCTTAGTCTTGAGAGACAGGAGGCAAATGCCATGACACGCTCCTTGTGAAAGCAGAGGACAGTGACACTGGTGCAGACGAATGTCACGCTGAGCTGGCGAGGAGGGCTAACTAAATCTGTATCCCAGAGGAAGAAAAACAAAGCGATTTTAACATATTCCTTCCTTGGGGCACCTGGGTGGCTTAGTCGGTTAAGCGTCCGACTTTCGCTTGGGTCATGATCTCGCGGTTCGTGGGTTCGAGCCCCGCGTCGGGCTCTGTGCTGGCTGCCGGCTCAGAGCCTGGAGCCTGTTTCAGCCTGTGACTCCCTCTCTCTCTGACCCTCCCCTGCTCATGCTGTCTCTCTCTCTCCTAGAAATAAATAAAATATTAAAAAAAAAAAAAACATATTCCTTCCTGCTCAGAGCTCACGCTTCATGCTGATAAACTTTAAGGACTTGAGATACTCACCTAGAGGAAGAAAACTAACGTGCTAGCAGGCTTCATATGTATAAATGGGTTTATTTAAACGTGGCTTAAATCTTCATATACTTTGTTTAAAAAGTACTACACAACATTAAAATAATTTTTTGAATGCCTATTTATTTTTGAGAGAGAGACAAAGTATGAGCAGCAGAGGGGCAGAGAGAGGGAGACACAGAATCTGAAGCAGGCTCCAGGCGCTGAGCTGTCAGCACAGAGCCCGATGCAGGTCCATATCTTGAACTCATGAACCAAGGGATCATGACCTGAGCCAAAGTCAGATGTTTAATCGACTGAGGCCACTCAGGCACCCTACTATGTGAAATTCTGAAGTAAGGAATTGAGCCTTGCGATACATGCATACATGATGTGAACAGTCAATTAAATGAAGTGATTCTATAATTTAGTGAGTTATTTGGCTAGTTTGGTTTTAAATATCCTGATTGCACACAGAGTTAGGGCAGCTAACTGCTTCTCTACAGACTGTTGTGTGTTTTCTGAATCGGTTTCACTCTCTATTAAAAATAATGATGTAAAATAATAGAACTTTAGTATTTACTAAAGAAATACACGTGACAAAACATTGCAATGTGGTATGAATTAGGTTCCCAAAGGGGTTACTGCTAATTCCTGAGTGCCTGGTGGCTTTGTCCAGGGGGGAACTCACCATGCAGCTCGAGCCTGATGAAGTCTGTGATCCCCAGGTTCTCTACAAACACCCCAGAAGGAGCTGTCGTCTTAAAAAAGAAAGACACGTCAGCACTGAACTCTCCATGGAACGTAGGGAAATGAAGGTATGAAGTCTCAGTATTGAAGGAAGCTGAGTTCCAAAATGAATCTGTTTCCGAAAAGAAAAAAAGACAGTGACCATAACAATGAAACAGAACGAATAGCAACTACGTTTTGTATTTCTAGCATCTTTTGCTGTTAAATGCTATAATTATATGCAAGCCTTCATCTGGGGGTTCTTCCAAACATGTAGCCAAAGTGTGAATGAATATTGAAATACTGACTCAAGGATTAAGATTCCCGACAAGGCTGCACTGCATGGAGAGATAATCACTAGAAACAGCCGGTGTTTTTTTGTTTTTGTTTTTTTTAAATAATATTACTTTAAAATTATCATAGAAGGGCACCTGCATGGCTCAGCCGCTTAAGCGTCCGCCTTGATTTTGGCTCAGGTCATGATCTCATGGTCCCTAAGTTTGAGCCATGTGTTGGGGCCTCCTTGGGATTCTCTCTCTCCCTCTCTCTGCCCGTCCTCCACTCACACTCTCTCAAAAATAAACTTAAAAAATAAAATTATCATACAGTGAAATTGACTTTTAGGGGATGTACGTTATATGAATTTTAATACATGCATGCAGAGGCACCTGGGTGGCTCAGTTGGGTAAGCGTCCAACTTCGGCTCAGGTCATGATCTCACAGTTCGTGGGTTTGAGCCCCATGTCAGGTTCTATGCTGACAGCTCAGAGCCTGGAATCTGCTTCTGATTCTGTGTCTCTCTCTCTCCCTCTGCCCCTCCCCTGCTTGCATTCTGTCTCTCTCTCAAAAATAATTAAAAACATTAAAAAAATTTTAAAAATACACACATGGATTTGTACAACCATCACCAAAATCAGGATAAAGAACAGTTCTATCACCCCAAAAATTCCCTCTTGCTATTTGCTTATAGGCACACCCTCTACCCACCCTCAAGCCCTGTCCACCATGATCTCTAGTTTTGCCCTTTCCAGGCTTCAGTAGATGGAGTCATGAGATAGGTAACCTTTTGAGACTGGTTTCTTTCACTCAGCATAAAGCCTCTGAGATGCATTCAAGTTGCCACATGTTGTTACTGCTCTGGAATATTCCATCAGGTGGATGGGACCACCATTTCTTTGTCCACATTTGAGAAGTTAGTTTCGTTTCCAGGTTCTGTCACTTACCAACAGAGCTGCTATTAACATTTGTGCCAATCGTGCATGGATTTGGGAACAGCCTTCTTACATTCTAAACCTGTGTACTCTTATTTCCTTCCTTACATTACTGCACTGGCAAGGACTTCCGGTGTGAGTGAAATTGTGGAAGAGAAGTGGTGTGATTGGATACCCTTAGCTTGTTCCCAGTCAGTTTTTCACCAATAATTATAATGCTAGCTGTTCTGGATAGAGATACCCATTATTAGGATGAAGAAGTCTCCTCCCTTTTACTCATAGTTTGTTAAGGATTTCGTTGTGAATGCTATCCTGATACAAATTAATTATCATGTTAATTCATTATAAAATCCTAAGAGATTATTGTGTATCTATCAATTGATGCAGAAACAGCATCTGGTGTGAGTTTTCTTCTTTCAATTGTTAAGATGGTAGATAACATAGATTGATTTCCAAATACAGCTGACCCTTGAACAACCAGGGGGTTAGAGGCACTGACCTTTGCACAGCTGAATATCCATGTGTGACATCTGATTCCCCCAAAACTTAACTACTAACAGCCTACTGTTGACTAGAAACCTTACCAGTAACATCAACACTTGAGTAACACATACTTTGTATGTTATATATATTATATACTGTATTCTTACAGTAAAGTAAGCCAGGGAAAGCATAATATTATTAAGGAAATCATAACGAAGAGAAAATAATTTACAGGCCTGTACTATATTTACTGGAAAAATATGTGCATATAAGTGCATCTGCACAGTTCAAACCTGCATTGTTCTGAAATCAGCTGCACTGAACGAGCCTTGCGTTCTGGGATAAATCCTAGTCAGTGATGATGTATCATTGTTTCATATATTCCTGGATTCTTTGTTAATGTTTTATTGAAGATTTTTGCATATGTGTCTGTGATGATGCTATCTGTAGTTGTCTTTTTTTCTTGCATTTTTTTGGTCTAGTTTGGGTATCAGGGCAATGTTGGCCTCATATAATGTTGGGAAGAATTTCCTCTTCTATTTTCTGCAAAAGAGTGTGTAAATATGGTGTTATTTCTTCTTTGGTAGAATTCACCAGTAAAACCATCTCAGACTGGATTCCATTCCATGACTTACTTTTAGGTCTGGTCTAGGTGTCTGTTTCATCTTGAGTAAGTTTTAGTCATTAGTGGTTTTCATGGAATCGGTCTGTCTTATATATGTTGGAGAATGTACATGCGTAGAGTTGTTTGTAGACTGCCATTACTATGCTACTAATGTCCGTGGGGTCTGTAGTGATGCTTTGGCTTTCACTCCTCACATGGGTGATTTTTCTCTTCTCTCCTTCAACAGCTGTGCTGGAAATTTATCCATTTTATTGGTCTTTCAAAAATATTTTTGTTTGCTTTTATAGATCTCTATTGTTCTGCTTTTAATTGAATGGTATTCTCTTTGTATCTTTATTATTTCCTTCCTTCGGCTTACTTTGAATTATTTTTTCCTCCTTTTTCTAATTTCTTAAGGTAAGAGCTTCAATTATGGAGTTGAGATTTTTTTTTCATAATACAAACATTTGATGCTATAAATACTCCTCTAAGCACTGCCATCAATACACCCCCACCACTCTTGATATGTTGTATTTTTCTTATCATTCAGGTCCATCTGTTTTATAATATCCATTTGAGACCTTCTCAACTCGTTTATTAGTTAACAGTTTGGGGTTAAATTTCTAAGTGTTTGTGGAGACTTTCTTATTGCCTTTGTTATTTACTTCTTTTAATTCATTGATGCCAGAGAACGTATTTTGCATGATTTATTTGATAGTTGCTCACGTTTGTTTTGTGACACAAAATATGCTATAGCCATGTGTATGTGGAAAGAATATATATTGTACTGTTGGGAGGGAGTTCCATAAATGTCCATTAGATTTTGCTGGTTTGTGGTGACATCCAAGCTTCTGTACCCCTGCTCATTTCCCTCTCTTAGGTTAATGAGAGAGGCATCCTGGATTCTCTAATTATAATTATGAATTTGTCCACTTCCCCTTTCCATCCTGGCAGTTGTTGCTTTATGTAGTTTGACGCCCAGTTATTAGCACACCCATTTAAGATTCTCATGTCTTCTTAATTGCTTTTTGTATCTATTAGTTTTCTATGCTTTCAAGCAGAGGTTTTAAAATAGAAAGTCCAGATTTCTTTTCATTAGTATTTAGGCAATGTATCTTTTCCCGTCCTTCTTTTTTAACTTGTGATGTCATTATAGTTGAAGAGAGTTTCTTGTACACAGTACATAGTTGAGTCATAACAATCTTTCAATTGGTTTGCGTAGACTAATCATAATAATAAAATGTTGACATGTGGGATTTAGTTCTACCATTTTATTTTATTTTTTCCTGTTTGTTACACTCTTTTGTTTGTCTGCTTCCCCTTTTCTGTCTCTTTTTGGGTTAGCTAAACATTTTTTAGTATTCTGTTTTTATTTGTCCATAGTGGTTCCTTGATTATTATTTTTTTCTTTTGAAATTACAGTATATGTACTTACCTTTTCTCAGTCTGCTCATAATCTACATTTCAACTCTTTGACCGGTTTGTAAAAATGTACCAACAATTCTGTCACGTTACCTGCTCCCCTTTATGCTGTTTTTGCTAAATGTATTACATCTGTGCACATTAAAAACCCTATGAAATAACATTGTTGTTTTTGCTTTCAACCCTCAGATATGTTTACATAACTCAATAGCAGAATGGACTGCTATATTTACCCAGATATTTATCATTAACTTTTTTTAATGTTCATTTATTTTTTGAGAGAGAGAGAGAGAGAGAGACAGACAGAGCATGAATTGGAGAGAGGCAGAGAAAGAGGAAGACACAGAATCTGAAGCAGGCTCCAGTCTCCAAGCTGTCAGCACAGAGCCTGACACAGGCTTGAACACACGAACCATGAGATCATGACCTGAGCTGAAGTTGGACACTCAACTGACTGAGCCACCCACACGCCCCAATTATCTACCATTTTTAATGCTGATTTTCTATCCCTGATGTCCAGATTGTCTTCTGATGTCATTTCCCTTCTGCCTGAATCTTCCTTTAGAAAGTCTTTTAAAGCATCTTCTGGTAATGAATGCTTTTAGTTTTCCTTTGTTTGAGAATTTCTTTATCTTCATTCTTGAAGGAGATTTTTGCTGTATATAGAATTCCAGACTAATATCTTTACTTTTAGCACTTGAGAATGTTTTACCATTTTCTTCTGGCTTCCATATTTCTAATGAGAAAATCACTACCATTTGAGTTAGTGTTCACCTACAGATGACACATCATTATTCTCTCTGGCTGATTTCAAAAAATTTCTTACTTCCTTTATTTGCAACAGTATGATTATGATGTGTCTGGATGTGAATTTCTTTGAATTTATCCTGTTTGAAGCTCATTCAACTTCTCAAGTCTGTCTTTTGCCAAACTTGGAAAATTTTCAGCCATTATTTTTTAAAATATTTTTTTCAGTACCACACTCTTCTTTCTGTCTGCTTCTGAGTACTCAGTTACATGAATGTTAGATCTTTTATTGTTGACTCATGGTTCCCTGAAGCCCTGTTTATTTCTAGATTCTTTTTCCTTTTTGTTCAGATTGAATCATTTCTATTCATCTTTAAGGTCCCTGACTGTTTCATCTCAGATCTGCTATTTGGCCTTTCCAATGCATCTTTTATTGCAGTTACTGTATTTTTCAGTTCTAAAGTTTTCATTTAGCTCTTTATATATCCTATTTCTTTGAATGCAATGTTCTTTTTCCATTTGCTAAGTAAGTGTTTATGATTACTTGGTAGGGCAATTATGTGACAGGTGTTTTAAACTCTCTCAGATAATTCTAACCTCTGTATCGTATTTGTAGTAGTATCTTTTGATTATATTTTCCCAAGCCAGCTTGGATTTTTCTGGTTCTTTGTGCTAAGTAATTTTGGAGTATTTCCTAGATCTTTTAAATAGAATTTTGACAAACTCCATACTTTATTTAAAGTTTGTGGAGCATGTTGAATATACAAATTTATTTTTTATTATTTATTATTTATTTAGCTCGTTATTTTGCAGGTAGTCGGCCTGGTTAGGACCTGGCCACACATTCCAACGTGCCTTCTGTGGGCTGTCTCTGATGGCGGTCCAGTTTATCATTTGCAGTAGTATTCGGATCTGCCTCACTCGTGCGCCACCCAGAGGCCAGTCTGGGTCTTGGGTGGTAGCTTCTCTGGTCAGTTCTCAGCTTCTCTGGTCTACAATTTGGATCAGATCCACACAAGTGTTGCTCTGAAGTGAGCCCAGTACTTCATAAACAACACATAGCACACCTTCCTGAACGGTTCCCTTCCTGTGCCCTTCCAGGTACTTTCTGGCTCCCTGGTCTCCCTTCTCAATCACAGGACCAGAAAACGGGTTATTTTTAGACTGCTCTGTTGTGTGCTCTATGCACCTCTGTCACTTGATCATGTCCATGGCCAAGCGATGGGTGAGAAGAGAAAGAAAACAAAAGTAACGGGGGTCTGCCCACGGTCTCTGAGCCAAAGGCCCTATTCAGAGCAAAAGGTCCTTTCTGAAGTTCTGGCTCTTGCAAGCTCCCGGGGCAAGTTCTGTTGCTATTTCCATGGTTCTGCCTGGGGGCTGGGGCCTCAGAAAACACGGAAAAAGAGGGAACTGGGTTCCCTGTATTCCCTGTGAGTTGGGACTTCTCTGTTCTCTCCTCCAGCCAGGGCTAGAGGGCTTCTCCTAGAACCCTCTCTGTGACCTGGTGTCCCCATCCGGGCTGGCCGAGAGATGCTACAGGAAAACATAAATGGTACATTCTGGTTTCTCCTCCTTGCTACTTGCTTCCCAGAGTCCGGAGGTAGCTGCTTCAGGGCATTCTGTCCAGGTTTCAGAGGAGGACTCAGCGGGAGAGAGGAGGTGGGGTGTGCTAAGTTCTTCTTATCCAGCAACAGAACCGTGGTCTGCGGTTTCACGTCATGAGCAAGAAAAACAATTCTTCATACTACCGTCAGTCAAGGCACGTTACTGTGTTCGCATTTTTACTTTCCATGTCTCAGTACTGTTGTCTGAGGTAGGAAACTCTTATTTTCTCAAAAGCAAGGTTCAGAAATGTCAGGATTTCTTCACAAGGCAACATCTCCTATGGGCTGGGTTGTGGCTCCGCGGGCTCGGAAGGCAACATGACCACGGTGGCCTTGGTGGACATTGTGCTCTGGCCTCTCCTCTGATGTGAGCGCCCCTGCAGAGTCTGGGGCAGAGGACATGGCCTGACGTGTCCGGCTGGCTGTCATGTGGAGTATCAGATCGGCGGGCAGAGGCATTAGCAGGCAGGCCGGTGAAGCTGCATCAACAATCCAGGCACTGGTGGCCATTAAAGTGGATTCGGATCCATTTTTGAAGTTGGAAACAACAAGACTTGTGGATGAATTAGATGTGTGTTGAGAGAGGAAAGACATTGGGAGTGAGTCATATTTTCAGTCTAAGCGAAAGGAAGAATGGGGCTGCATGTACTGAGGTGGGGAAGGTTGTTGTGGAAACACTTCTTTCCCCTTAGTTTTGACAAACTGATTCCATGATGCCTAGTGAAATACAAGCCAAGGTGCTGAACGGCCAGTTGGATGCCAGGGTTGGGAGTTCAGGGAGACTGGGTTTGAGGTGTAGACCGGGCACTCGCTGACATCAATGTGGTATTTAAAGCCATGGGCTTGTAGGGAACAGTCAGAGAGCAGAGAGAAGGAGGGGCTGAGGGTGCAGGCTCAGGGCACCCCAACATGATGCCACTGGCGAAGTGAAGGAGGAAGGAGGAAACCTAGGATGTTGTGGTTCGTTGGCACTAAGGAGGGTAAGAATCAGGAAAGGAGACCAAAGTGGCCACAACAGGTCAACTCAGATGACACTAGAGATTACAATTTGGATTTAGCAACGTCGAAGTCTCATTGGTGAGTTAGAAAAAGCACTTTTTAGGAAGCGATGGAGGAAAAAACCTGAGGGATTAGAAAGAGGTAAATTAAATGTAGAACCAATGCATTTTATTTCAATTAGCTTGAGTGAAGGAAGGATACGAAAGAAATCTAGATGTAGTTGGAGGGAAAGCAATGTCAGAACCGCTGAGGTTTCCAGAATTGCCAACAGGTGTTAATGAACAGGTACCCTCGATGGCTTCTGTGATCCTGTTTCTCATTATCTTACCAGTTTTAGGCATCTCAGCACTCAGCTGAGTGTCTTTTCCTTAGCTGTATATGTTAGATGTTTGCTGACCAGGTGATACAGTATTTTAGGTGATTCAGTAAGTCCACAGCAATAGTCTGATTTCAATACCGCATAAGGGACACATACTCCAAAGGTGACACGTGTTTTCTCCCTTTTTTCTCAATTACAATGACAACAGACACTTCTTTTATATTCTAATGAAATATGGAACATCAGGGCAGGTGGTGTTTTTATGAACTCAGGCAGCTGTATTTCTCCTAAAACACTGATGTGTATTTTTAGGGATCAACATAGTTCCTCTTCCCGTTACTTACTGTCCCCCTGGCAGAGCAGAGGTCCCAGCACATACGCCGCTTCTGAATGTGGCTGGCCTGTGTCTCTCATCACAACCTGAGTGACAGGCAGGTGCTCCTTATGGGAAAGGACTACTGTGTCGCTGGTCCTACAAAACAAACACGGCAACCTTAACATTACTGTGAATGACATCCAGAGAAGCAACAGTCTTTTACTGCAGTTCAAGAGGTATCAAGCTAAAGCGTGACTACGGAACAGTCGGGAAGTAAAAGAGCTAATCTGAACACTTACATAAGGTCGTCTGGGGACCCAAGATCTTTGTCTCCGTGACCCCAAAGAAGACAGGGGCCGGGTCCAAAATCAGAAGCCTCAGTGCTGGCATGAGATTACACTTCCACTGCAATTAGGCAGCTCACTGCTTTTTCCAATCTAGCTGCTGTGTAAGACTTAGATGCAGAACTTGCCCATGCAAGATCTGTTGGGCTTCGTTTAAAAAAAACCCACCTGACTGCCAAGATTTAGGTTTTCAATCCTCAGATGTTTTTCTTTTTACTATTATTTTCTAAAATTCGTAGAGCAGTTACTAGACATTTCTTTATTTATTGGAGCCTTAAATTAAGAAAAAAAAAAACCCAAAACAAACTACCGATTCAAAACCAAATTGAAAGTATGATATAATGTGCGCTGTACATTAATACATGAGATAATGCATGGGAAGTGCTTTATCCATGGCTATCACCAACCAGTCATTCGACCAACACTTACTAAACAGCTTCTACTGGCCAGGCTCTGTGGGTTGGGGACGTGGACATAAAAACCACCATCGATGTCCCCAAGAAACCTAGTGGATATTATAAATAGTAACAAAAATATAATTGTACTATAGCCAAATCATGTAACTGAATATTGAAGACAGCATTAATATCTGTGGGTCCAATACAACAAAAACTAGACTAAGAGCCAGAGGTCCGGGGTCATAAGCTGGCTGACCACCAAACACCTCTCTGGACAAAGAAAGAAGATTTTTCTGCTCGTTGTAAGCTGTTCATATTTTCACTGTATATTTCAGTGATGTATGTACTTTTGATTTAGGAACAAATAATGATTCATCTAACATATGGTTCTGATGCCTTATATCTGTGTAGAACCTAGGAGATTTTAATGCTGAACAATTACAAAGCCACCACTCACTCTTATATGGACAAATGGAAGCATCTGAAATTGATGATTCTGCAAGTCGAAACAATTAGCCATTTCAAATGGTGCAGCCTAATAGCTTTGCTGCAATAAGCAATCTGCATACCTTAATAGCTAATTATTTCAGTTGTGTTTAGGCATCAAAGTATTCTTTTAAGGTAGAAAGGTGAAAATTATTGACATTTTTATTTTGCTTAAAAAAATGTAACAATGTGACTGGCAGTGCCTATGGTAAGCCGTGAAACATTGGAACTTAATATCCTGAAAGCTAAGAAACAATTTTTTTAAAAAATCGGATTGTTTCCAAAAAAACAGACTCAATAAAGCCACAGGACTTCACTTTATCTGGTGAAGACCCTGCGACTTTTGTGGGTGAAAGCACACAGGTAGGCCATCCCAAAAACATAATGCCTGGCTTTGTTGGGAACTGGTGGTCACAAGCTAGAAGGCTCCATGGATTATGGGGGGACTCAATCTGAAAATACATCTTGTTATAAATGCAGGGACAATGCACCAGATTAACTCCTCATGTTAAATATCAATCAATGTTACAAATATGCATTTTAATTCTTGTCATTGCTATTTTGGTAGAACGTTCTAGAGGAAAAACGTAAGTGTGTTAGTTATTCACTGAGGATCCTTGGATTTTAGAGACCCATTTAAAAGCTACATTTATAATGCAGTGAAAAGCTACACTTTAATTGTTCTTAGCAATTACAAGGCACACAGAGCCCTAAAAAAACTTAAGGAAAATCATAAAGGGTAATTGTGTGTCATAAGGCAGACACTGTAATAAGCTCTTTTTTCATTCCGTTGTTTGTAAAGTAACTTCCTGAATCTGAGGAAATTGGAAATGACTCTAATTTTAAAATTTATCAGCGCAGGTCATTCCCAACTGTCTACGCTTCACGTAACATGTGATTCATTATCATGGTCACCAGCCTCATTTGGAGTAGCCTCAGTTTTCTTCTTGCTTCTCTACTTTTTCGAAAGTTGGAGCCATTGCATGTCAAGGCATGATGACTACTCACAATTGGTTTCAAACGTTTAGTAAGAGAACTTCCAAAGCAACTTCCTTTCTGTTTTCAGTCCGAACGCTCTAGAGACTATCCTTACTGCTGGCTGTTTTGCAGGGGACTTTTTTGAAAGTCTAACGGGGCTGTCATGACTTGGAGTCGCTGGAAAAGCTATAGCAAACAAACAGTGGGTCAGCTTTCACATTTCCTAATTGTTTGGGGGAAAAGAGAGACGAGACAACCTAATTATTACCACCCAGAGTCGCATATTTTGAAAACTCCCAGGCTCTCTCTTGGGTTTTGCTAGTCTATTTGCTCATCCCTTTGACAAACCCAGGCGGTTTAACTACCGCAGCACCGGGACACTTCACGTCCAGCAAGGCCAGTCTCCTCTCCTGGTTTCCATCTTCAGTTGTTATTTACCATTGCTTTTCTGTGTACATTTTCCCAGCTCGTCACTGAACCAAACGCTAAGCAGATGTTTGGCGTTGGAATGAAATGGAATCAAGGAAACACCTATTTTTCTCACTCATGGCCATTGTGTGATATCTCCACTTATTTATGTCTTCTTAAGAGTCTCACAGTAAAGCTTTATGATGTCTTCTCCATAAAAGTTGTGCATATTTTTGTTATCTTTTATTCCAGAGTACTACATTCTTTTTGCTGATCCAGCAAGTGGCTCTTATAATATTTTCTTATAGTAACATGTTCTACATAGGAGTCCAGTTATTCTAAGATTCAGTACGTAGCCCTACGAAATAAATTCTGATTAACTTCATAATATTTCTGTATATGCTTGAGTTTTCCTAGTAGACAACTATATTTTCTATGAATAATGTGATTTTCATTTCCTTGTTTCTAATCATGTGTGGTTTTCAAATGCCTCAAATATTTTTTAGCCCTCTAGTCTTCATTTCTAACCTAAATGCACTAAATGATTTTATGCACTATAATCAGAGAAACTGTCCATATGGTAACAACTACTATACAATTTGGGGGATTTTGCTTTATGGAATATTAGAAAAACCAGCTTGCAAAAATGTGCCACGTGTGCTTGAGAAAATTATATATTCTATCATTTTAGGTGGTTACCAAAACAAGCTGTTCATTTCATTTAAAATATTCTGTATGCTTAATCATTTTTGTCCACATGATTTACCAATTGTTAACAGATGTATGTTTAAATGTCTTCCTATAATGGTTGATTCGTATATTCCTTCTTTCAGTTTGGTAAATTATTTTCTCTATGTATTTTGATTCATTTTTATTAGGAACATACAAATTTAGGATTGCTATGGAGTTTTTGTTGGTGAAATTAAAAAGCACTGTAATATAGTGAGAGTAATCATCTCCCATATTCAGACTTTAAAACTGCACTTGCTTCTGTGTGTATTTGCTTGGTAAATCTGTGTTCAGCATTTTGCATTCCACATTTCTAGGTGTACAAATGAGATACACCTATTCTTAATGCAATATGATCTATCTGGATTTAAATGGCTATTTTGGTCACATTTATTGTGTATGATTACTCATTATTATTTTTGTTATTTTGTTGCTTGTTGTTTCTTCCTCTTTTCTAGATTTTACTTCCTACTTTCTTTTGAATTAACTAATGGTTAAGCGTCTGACTGCTGCTTTGGGCTCAGGTCATGTTCTCACAGCTTCGTGGTCTGGAGCCCCACATCAGGCTCTGCGCTGACAGTGTGGAGCCTCTTTGGGATTCTCTATCACCCTCTCTCCCTGCTTCTACCCCATTCATGCTGTCTCTGTCTCTCTCAAAATAAGTTAATAAACTTTATTAAAAAAATAAAAATGAAATAAAAATCCTGTTTGAATATTGTACTGTCCACGTCTATTCTTTAGCGGTCACACTTAAAAATTTTAACGTATGCACTAAAAACAATGTAATGCTAACAAATATCTACGCAACAAACTTTAAATTTCAATAACATTTTCATTTCTAAATTTAATTTCTTTGTCAATCACAATCATTTTTTTAATAGGATCGGATTGCCTCCTCCCATTTCAATTCCATATGTACTGTGACATGTGACTAGGATGCACATGTTATTTTCTTAACCTCTCAGTTTACACACTTCTTCCCTCACTATTTCTTCTTGCACCTGATACTCCTTACAAGATCACCTACTTTGATTCTGAAAACAATTCTTCAAACATTGTATGTTCCTTCAGCATCTGTCTGTCTGTCTGGGTGTTCACTGTATCTCAGCTGGGGACATGCTTGGACTGGGGCAGTTATTTTCCTACCACACAGCGAGGGGAAAGCCAGCAACTGCAGGTGGCACTGGAGGGGGAGGGGGCCGGCTGGCTCTGCCTGCCTTTGCTATTACTCCTCACCTCTGCTCCCTCTAATGTTCTCTTTAAATTTCCTTGGTTTTGCCATGATGTGTCTGCAGATGGACTGAATTTTACTTATCCTGCTTGGTATGCTTGTATTTTCTCCAATCCGGACATTTCTTGGCTATTTGATCATTGCCCTTGACGATTTCCAATCTTCTCTTTTGAAACTTGACTCAGACGCCTGTGCAGGCTTCTCCACGCTACCCCTTCATGTCACTGTTTTCCTTCTTCCCATCGTGTGTCTCTCTGCCCTACAGTCCATGCCATTTATTTACACACATTTTCCATTTCACCACTTTTCTGCTCACCTGTGTCTACTACCTGATCCAATTAGTTTCAAACTTCAATGGTAATATTTCCATTTGTAAACATTCATTTGGTTCTTTTGTAAATCACGATCCCCTTCATCAGTCACTGCTTTCATGTGTTTCAATTCCAGTTCCCATATTTATTTTATTTTGTCTTATGTTCTGAATGTATCCGTCACCTGGGATTTTTAGGCAGCGATTCACTCTGTGGCTTCTTCTGCCTCCCACTTCTGTCCCCCTGGGCTCTGTAGCACTGGATTGCGTGCTCATGTTTGATGGCATTTTATCTGCGGGAATCCCTGGGGGAGGGCAGGGCTCTGGTAAGAATGACATGTAATTCTATGATGAGCCATCGGTGCCGCCAACCCGTGGCCCCGCTAACTGAATTCAGGGATGGTATAACATTGGATCCAAATCTGTGTGAGGGCAGGTCTGTAGACATGGGTTTTCAGGGAGTTATTCATTGCTACCTAGAGTGCTAGCTGGAAGATTTGTCGTCTTCCACCTTCTTTTTGGGTCTGGAAGCCTCTTGAGAACTCCAGCTGTACGGAGAGGTTTACGTTCCATAAATCCCCTTCTGTGCATGCCAGACCGTGTTTGGTTTCCCCAACGTGGCCACTTAAAACGACATTTAGCAGCAAGGGAGCTCAGCAAACAACCCTGGGGCAATCATCTTATTAATCGGGTTAAACTTTAGAAAGTCTGGATATTTTACTTTCAGTGAATGGGAGACATTAATCTGGTATTTCTGTTCTGTCTTGTTAGAAAAAGAAATGGACACGATTAGTTATTCACAGGTAAACAGAGAGAGCTACCTTAACACTTTAGGCTTCAGATCAATTACACTGCACACATCGGAGCTTCTACTTGGAGCTCGCTAGGGAACCCTTTCATCTTAGCTCTTTACAGAACTGTCTTGTCCAACGTCTGCCTAAGTCACATAGTTCAAACAATCAAAAATTACAGTTTGCACAGGGAAATTATATGGAAATCACCATTCATTCCGGCCAGCATCACAGTTGCAGTAATAGTGAGAATCAAGGCAGTTCCCCTGTAATCCACAAGCACATTTTTGAGCATCAGGCTGAGAACCGCCCCAGTAAGTGTGTGTTTCATTGGTTCTTCCAACCCACCAGCTCATTGGGGTTCCATCTGAAAGACAAGTATGAGAAAGGTGACACCTACTTTGCCCCCCACTGCCTGCCTCCCCAGCACAGTCCTTTGCTCCCCGCTATTCCAAACACAGCGACTATTTTAGATGCAAGCAGATGTTAACTCCACGACAGGACCATTTCTAAGAGGATTTCCAACTGTTTAAAGAATATTTCCATATCCAGACTTACGTTCTCACCATATGTTTTACTTTTATTAGAAAATGAGGAAGCAGTCCCCTAACTCAATCCAGGCGTGATATTTACGTATTTCTCTTGAGGACGCCAATTACCTCATTTATTTGGAAGTAACATTCACAAAAGAATTCTCGTTAAGAAAAAAAAACATAGAAAAGCAGAGTAATTTATACACTGACGCTAAGATCTCTTCAAGAGCCAAAAACACCGTTGAAATAGTGTAATATTACTATTTGACCTTTGGGTTCTTTTTGCTTTATTTATTAGCGGAAAACACTGGTCCTTCTCATCAGGTCTGAAAAGCCTCATGGAGACATGTGTTTCTTCTTATACTGAATGGGTTGGCTTTGTATTTGGAAACTACAGATAGGGTCCTGACGAGCCTTCTCCATGCCTGGGGTGCGTCCTAGGCTCAGGCAACTGAGGCTCCCACAACTCAATTCTTCAGCACTATCTCCTTCCATGTACAACCCACAGGTAACCCACTGCAGAGGCCACAGGGAGAGGCTGCAGGCTCCTGGGGGTTGAGGATGGTTAGGAAGGTGGGACTTCAGAGTGTGGAGGAATACAGTCCCTAATAAACAGAATCAGAGCAGGAGGGCTGATGGACATGACATCCTTCAGTTGGCCTGCAGAGATGCCGGTCCAACTCAGCGCGCCCGCTCAGATCCTCAGGTTGTTCCCATCCAGCCCCCAGCAGGCGTCGGGAACACATTCCCAGCTTCTCCTTAATTTACGACCGTCAGTGCTCATTACAGCTCCCTGTTTGATGAGACCTCACCGTCTGCCTGCACCCTCCTGGCTTGTAAACACACCAGCCATGTTCATTACCACCCATCGCAGGCCCATGGGGGGAGATGTGTGCCAAGAAATCTATATCTGCAGTTGTTTTCTTTTTTTCCAATATGTTGAAAAGTTTTCTCTAGGGGGTGGAAGATCTTTTCAATTTCACAGATATTTTCAAAACACCATTTGAAAAATGTGACTATTTAATACTCGCTCTTTCATAGATTGAGGAGCGAAGGAACTGTTGCATCCAAATGCACGATTGTTTGTTTACATCGGAATTTTTCATTTCCTTTATAAAGTAAGAAGCATCAGGTGTTGCTAACGGTAACAGAATGCATTTGGCTCCATTCAAGATTTCTTTGAGAAATCTGGAGAATTTGCATAAGGAATCAGTAAGAATGACACGAAGAAGAATGAGAGCCAAAATGGAAAGGATCATGGCCCCAGGCCTCCATCGTTTCCGTCCCTGGTGGGCTGTCCTTCATGCCAGCCATAACTACAATCCTCAGGGACCTTAGCGTCCACAGTACAGAGACTGAAGTTACCTGGAATCAGCACTTACCACCCCAAGCTCCGCTTTAGCCACCCACACTCACATCCCCTGGAACCATCTCCAGCACAGAAACCTGACAGCTGCTGAAGGAAGACGCTGTGGGACCCTAAGGGGAGTCGAGGCCGCTCTGCTCGCCACCAGCCCTCCAGAAACCACAGGACACGGGGGCTGCTATGGTGAGGCCTGGCCCTACCTTATCTCCTCTCACGATTAACAAGACCTCAGGGTCCTGATAATGTCTGAGAATTTTAACAGGGGGAGATTCTTGGGGAGCAAAGTGGATTTTGACTGACATTCCCCAATCTGCTCTATGACATTCTTAAGCCACGTGGTCCCCACACTGCAGCAGCCTTGAGTGACTTTTCCCCATGGCGACATTCTAGCAAAGGCTCCAGGTGAAGACAGTGGCCCCTCCTTCCACACAAGGGTAGCATCATGCTTCTCACGCCCATTCGTGTCTATCAATAATGCACAGCAAATCAGCACAACAATTTTGAGGTGTGGTAGGTCACACTATTTTAGGCCAACCTCATGTGTGCCCTAATTAAGAGCTTCTGGAATTATACAGGGCTGTACTGAATTTGTCTAAATTAACTTTGTATCACAAATTGTCCAGTAGCAGAATATAAGAAATGCAGCTCCGGGGCACCTGGGGGACTCAGTCGGTTAAGTGTCCGACTTCAGGTCAGGTCATAATCTCACTGTTCGTTGAGTTTGAGCCCCACGTCGGGCTCTGTGCAGACAGCTCGGAGCCTGGACCCTACTTCGGATTCTGTGATTCCCTCTCTCTCTGGTCCTCCTACACTTGCTCTCTGTCTCTCTCTCAAAAATAAAAAATAAAAAAAGACAGAAAGAAAGAAAAGCAGCTGCCTTAAGTGTGCATAGATAAAAATCCCTCACTTTGTCTCCTTAGCGAGTGTTTAACAAGTTTAAAAGTGTTTTCTCTTTCCATCTTTACCCCAACTGCAAATAAATACTTGTTTTTGTTGCTGCTGTTGGTGCTTTATATATCGATAGGGAAAAAATGGCAATCGAGTTACCACTTGCAAAACAGCAGGTGGACACTGGCCTTCCAAGAGGGAAGTCTTTACTGAGCAGGGTGGTGTCTGGGCTCTGGGACGGACCACGGGCGGAGTTTGCCCCCAAATTCGTTGGTGGTTTTGTTTTCTGACTGTGGTAGCGGCTGGCGCCAACCCACCCTGCCCTGCCTTCGCCTTCGTTCCCTGGCGACACAGCCCAACCCGCCTTGTTCCCTAGCACTGCCTCCCTCTCCCAAGGCCACTTTCTCATCCTTCTGGGAACATACCGTTTTAGCTCAGTCATCTATTTAGCAGGAATCAACTCACAGTACGCACTAAACCCTCTAGCACTAACTATAAATTCAATAAATTGGAGAGATGCAAATCGGTAGCGTTTCACTTTGTGCAATTTCTACCTTGCGTAAGTAAGGCGTGGCAAGGTGAGCATCTGAGCGCTGAAGGCTCTGAGGGATGAAGCAATGTTCCGGCTCCCATGTCCCATGGCTGCTGAATGACAGGCTCTGAACTTGAACTCAGGGGGATCCTGACTACCGCCCTCTGCTCACTCTGCCCCCCAGATGTCTGCTCAGCCTCCCGAAAACCAAGGAGTTTCATTTGAGCAGTGAGGGGGAGGGGGTTGCACACCCTGACAAAATGAGATATTTCAAAGGAAGAAAATACAAAACCAAAAGCAGAATTTTCAAGAGTAGCATAGACAGGAAAAATGAACCATCAGCAGGCATGTTGTGTGAGAGAGCTGCATGAGACTAACATTGCTCCCTAATTAATAATTACCCCAGACGCTAATGACACTCAGTCTGTGCAAAAGAATCTCATGGAATAATCACCTCCGGATAGATAACTAAGCCGCACGTGTCGTCAGCAATCTAAGATAACCTCGTAAGGAGGCTTTTATGCCCAGGTGTCCAGTTGAGTCTGGGAAGACACGTCAGATCATTCGCAGCTTTGAGCGAGGAGCGACACATTGACCTTGTTCTTTGCTCCAAGGAAAAGCATCTCTGTAACTTCCAGATTGTGACGTGGGTAGTGTGGCCGTAGATTCTCACGCATCCATGGCAGGCCATGGCCACCTGTGGGCACTGCAGCCCATGATGGCCGAACATGCAGATTACTCACCGTGGCGAGCTGAAAGCCTGGACTTCTTGCAGTGGAAGGCCAGCTCCTGTTGGCAGTGGTCCGCGTGGTCGATTATGGCTTGGAGCTGGTCCATGCTGGCCGTGTACTTGAACACCACAGGGCGGGCACCTTCTCCATCTGAGATTTTGACCCTGGCCAGATGTGAGCCATTGTGCTGCACTGAGGTCCAGGTGGTGTCTTGTGGGTAGAAATGGGGTGGGAGCGAGAAAAAGACCGTGACTAGGTAGGGGCAATTAAACACTAATAAGAAAGTCGGAAGCATCTTTTATCTGAATTAAGGATTTTATGTTTGTAGCTATCCAATCTCCTTGACATTAGAATCAACACAAGTGGCATTGTGAAAATGTTAATAATAGGGACTCTCTTTACCGAAATTTGTATTACTCTGAATGTGGTCAACATTGTCCGGGGCCAATTTTTAAAGTTCTGTGTTATAATGCTCAAGGTTATAAATATAACTTTTTCTCCCTTAATTTATTTCTTTCCATTACCATAAAAAGAAAGGTAATTTTTATTGTGTGTCCATTTATTTTTTAATAAGCAAATTCCTAGGGGATCCTGGGGGGCTCAGTCGGTTAAGCATCTGACTTCAGCTCAGGTCATGATCTCATGGTTCATGGGTTGGAGCCCTGCATCAGGCTCTCCACTGTCAGTGCAAAGCCCACGTCAGATCCTCTCTGTCTCTCTCCCCTACCTCTCAAAAATAAAAAATAATATGCAAACATTTAATAAGTATATTCATCATCTATCTTTTTCTCTGGAAATCAAGGAAATATGTAAAAGATACATTTGAGGAATAACCGATGCATATGATCCTCCAAATAATAAAGTAAGTATTTTTGACAAAAATTGACTGACCATGTGTCAGCAACTCATTCAGTGGCCAGCATGCAATAATGCAGTGCCTTTAAGTATCTAATATAACTCTTTGTGGCAGTAACCATAGCTCTGCAAATGTCTGCTGGCAAATTCTGACATATTTCTGTTATATTGATTAACTCTATTTTAAAAGGAGATTTATAGGGGCACTTGGGTGGCTTGGTTGGGCATCCAACTTCTGCTTAGGTCATGATCTCATAATCTGTGAGTTCCAGCCCCATGTCAGGCTCTGTGCTGACAGCTCAGAGCCTGGAGCCTGCTTCGGATTCTGTCTCCCTCTCTTTCTACCCTTCCATCACTCATGCTCTTCTCTCTCCCTCTCTCAAAAATAAATAAACATTAAAAAATTTTTAATAAAAAAATAACAGGACATTTATAAACAATCAAAAAGTGCTCCACAATTTTTACAACAGAAGAAGAACATCTTGATTTCTTTTACCTTCTTCTAAAATATACCTCCCCCCACAGTTCAGTGGCCAAAAGGCTGGCTTCAAAGTTGCTCTAACTCAACTACATTTATAACATGAAGTTACATAGCCTCCTCTGTAACCCATATTTGGTCCATACATGATCAGTCACCATATTTCCAAATTATAGGAGCTAGAGACAGTCACGTGAGGTCCGTTCTGATTACTTTTAATGTCTAACACATACACAAGGTTCAAAAATCAAAGCAGTGCTACCAGGAACCCAGAGGAGTTTCCACTGGCCCCCACCCCTGCCCTGTCCTGCCCTGGGAAAAATCTAACAGCCATGCTGGTGCTCACACACCCTAAGTGCATCAAATACATCCAGAACTCCAAGGAAGAGAACCCCGAGGGCCAGGGAAAGAACTCCGGCTCCAAGCCTACAAAAAACATCACCAAATATGCCAAATCTAGCAGGAACAAGAACAGACTGTGAGTCAGCATGACTAATGCAGGGGTATATTCAGTTGAGAAAAAAAGGCTTAATAGATCATCCCCTCTCGCTGCTCACTGAAGGGCTGTGAGTGTTCCTATAGCAACTTGAATCCCACAGGTTTTTTCCCCCCTCTAATCATGTTTTCACCAGGCATTTTATATTTCAACATTTTCCTGGAAAATGACTTAAATGGACCTGGCGTTATTTTTGGTAATTACCTCCTCACATTCACCCTCAGGGTTTCTTCCATCAGACAGAACAGGGGAAAAGGAGCCACGGAGAAGTCATGTGTTAGGTTGGGGAGTTCATCAATTATAATGTCGGTGCGTCATCTGTTTTCATGGTTTACGGCACAAAGAAAAATGATGTGCCTGAGTAGCCCATACAGGCTAGCGGTCAGCGTGATGGATTCATGGTCTTGCATGGTTAAAAGGTAATAATAGAAATCTTTTTCAAGTGGAGAGAAGGGAAACCGGGAAAAGAATCTCAAAGCTGTCTTTTGAAAAAAGAAAAATTGAAATGATTGCTCTCTCCAGAAATATTTTTTCCCCAAGACCCCAACAAGGGCACATTATGTTTCTCTGATCTTCTGCAACATATGATCTTCATAGATTTCCAAACTATAAATGGGAAGGCAGCTCTGAGATGCAATATAAGCTTGACTTTCAACCATGAGGAGACATACCAAGGAGCTCAAGTGACCAGCGTGATGGAGAACACTTAGCTGTTTTTCACTATAGTTTGAAGCACAAGTTGAATGTGAAGAAATTCATTGTAATAAGGGAAATTTTTAAACGGGATTTTGGAACTGCTGGATCAGACCACATCATATCACGTTCATCTAGCTCAGGGAGGTTTCTTTCATCTGTGCACGGTGCAGGGATGCTGTCCGGGACTCCTGGCCCATTTGCTTAGGCAAATCGACGTAAATTAATCTGATGGTTTGGTTTGGTAAGCAGGATATTAAAAATAACATGGGGCGCCTGGGTGGCTTAGTTGGCTAAGCGTCCGACTCTTGGTTTCAGCTCAGGTCACAATCTCGTGGTTTATGGGTTCGAGCCCCATGTCGGGCTCTGTGCTGACAGTGCAGAGCCTGCTTGGAATTCTCTCTCTTTCCCTCTCTCTCTACCTCTCCCCTGCTTGTGCTCTCTTGCTCTCTCAAAGTAAATACATAAACTTAAAAAAGTAACACTGACGTACCACATCACAGGACACCTCCTAGTTTCTCTTTATTTTGCCAAATTATATCCACCTTGCAATTTGCAACACTTTCTACACTTTATAGCATGCCTCTAAACTCTACACAGAGTCTTTTATGAGAAAAAACAGGTGGGAAGACAGAACAGAACATATTCAGGTAGATGTGAATCCGAAGCACCTCTGCTACGCTCACTTTCATCTTCCCAGAGAAAAAAAGAAGGAAAAAGACTTCCTCACAAAAAAAATTTGATGCCTGTCTAGCCAGTAGATCTGTCACTCACAGGCTGGAAGCTGATCTCGAGGAAAGGGAAGGCAAAAATCCCTTTTCTCACAGATGCCCGAAACGAAGTCTGACTTGGGTCTAAACACCAGCTCTTTGGAAGTGAAGCCAGTCGCCTGAGTCTCTGGCGGGGGAAGAGAGGTGCTTGAGCTCCAGGGAAGACAAGGCAGGCAATATGCCAGATGACTGGACTTGTCACTTCCCTTCTGCAGATGAAGAGGTGGCCGAGGAGGCGAGGAGGCGCAATGACACACAAGGCAGACTGATGGAAACACTAGCAGGCGTCCCTGGCTCCACAGACGCGGTGTGAACACCACGTCCTGCCTCGGAGAGGGGGAGCGCCAAGCCTTCTGGAACTCTCCAGGGGGAACCCCTGCTGCAGATGGCGGGCGGGCATCTGTCATCAGCCCAATCCTCCCGCCGCACAGGAACCGAAAGGGAAGCCCAGGGAAAGGGACCTGCCCAACTTCAAGAAGCCATGTAACTTCCGCATGTATTTCTAAGCATCCTAGTGGGAGTCCCTGGGCTTTCTGAGTAGGTCAAGTTCTCGAAGACCACTAAGGTCCGTCTCGAGTGCCTCCACCTGACCCCTCTCCTGTATTTCCAGGGAAAACGCTCCAGGGGGAAACGGAACTAGATGATGGGCATGTATGTGCACAAATGTGCACACGGGGCTGGTGACGGTCAAGCGGCTGCTGTGAATGTCCGGTGGGCACCCTGAGGAAGACAGCGGTCGGCTCTTATCCGCCCCCATTCCAGATCTTGGAGGCACTAGCCCTGTCATGGCCTGGCTTGCCAGAGCCAAGGACAACTTGGGGTTTGTGTTTTTCTGAGAGGAGGGACGACTTTTCTAAGCAGGCAGCTTCCAGGTCATGGGAGAGGGCCCTGAGGTGGTACTGTCACAGCCCCACACCTTTGGGTCCCTCCTGATCAATACTGGAATTAGGGCCCTTATAAGGGCCATCGTTCTTGTAACTGTTCTGAGGCCTTAGAGCGTTTCATGATTTACTTGAATATTTTCCACATTAAAAAAAATGCTCTACAATACAACAAGATTTCCCTAAGAGAAAACAGCCACTTCACAGCCTTCTTCCCTTGGGATTCCAGAGGATGCTCTTTCCACTTAACAGGTCACACGAAATACAACATTATGTGTCTGCTCGTTCATTAGTGCAGGCACTTGCTGTTAGCCACGGAAGGACACTTTACAACACGACTTACATTCTCTTGAGGCAACAGATACACGCGCTTGAAATGCATTAGTGTCTCCCCTTGCATTGAGCCCAGCACACAGCAAGATAGCAGAATGACTTCCTCAGAAAGGACATTGCATATACACTTAGAAAACTGGATATGGACAGAGAACAGTGTCATGGTCAATAAGAGAATATGGGTTTTAACTTTTCTTCTTGGAGAAGTCAGAAAAGTCCTCTAAGCCTTCAATTCCGTATTTGGGAAACGGGGAGAATGAAGCAGGTGGCATCAAAATACTGAAAACTATTGTTCCGGCCATCTTCAAATGCCAAGGCAATTAACTAGGCACACACGTTACTGGCCAAGAGGCTCTCTTGAGTTTTATATTTTAATTGTTCATCTAGAACCTGTGCCTATCCATCCACAGGCAGGACCTTGCTGCATGGCTGATGACAGCGAGAAAGTGAACTTTCCAGAAACACGTGTCTTTTCTCCTTTTGGGGAGCAGTGATAGGATCTGTTTCAGAAGTTTTGCATCCCCACGCACACTGGGCATGCCTACTCCAGAAACTACCTTTAGAAGCTGCTGGCAATTGGCCAGATTGATGTCCCCACAGTGGGAACTGGAAGGATTCTTTCCAGGCAAAAGTCCACATAAAAGAGATGCAGGATCATTGTGTCAAATGATCATCAAAGAGCCGCTCTTCTCTCTCTCTCTCTG